AGAAGGAAATTGGATGACAGGAGCAACGAGAAGTGATGAAAGTAGGGAAAGGAGTGATAAAACTGCGTCCAAAAAATATAGCGTGAATAAAAGACAGAAAAAAAATATTTGAAACTGAAAACGAACTAACGGAAAAAACACCCAGAAAAAATATTAATATTCAAGAAGAAAATCAAAGAGTAATTTTACTTCCATGGTCTTTTTCCCCTGCTATTCCCTTTTTTTCGTCCCTGAAAGACAATATCCTGCAGTAGTCAAGGGTTGTGTGGATAGGGTGTCTTGGTAGTGGAGTGAAGAAACTCTTTCTTCCAAGATGCTGGGGCTCTATTTTCCAACTCGCGGTGGAAGGTGTCACGCGACCGCACTATTGGGAATGGGTTTCACACTACCAGACCACTGCGAGGGTGTCACGCGACCACACACACTGATGGTTGTGTGGGTCATGCTATCAGCGCGAGAGGCTGGTGGCACCCTCTGCTGAAGGAGTGTCACACTGGAGGGTGAATCTGGGATGCAGTAGTGATGAAGAGGATAATAATGGCAGTGAGAGTGATGAAAATAAGAGTGATAATTATTAGGAAGATGACGAAAGAGTCGATGATGAAAAATATATGGACAAAGAAAATGAACGATTCATATTGAATATTTACCAAAATTATGGATGCAATTCGAATTCCTGGTGGAACGGGGCCGCCAACCCGTCACCTTTGATTACCTACATTGATTTGTCCCATATTCTAAACAATAAGCCTTACCACTATTGCTGATGAGAATATGGAACAAGGAGAAACAAAGGAGTAAAAAAGGAAGGGAGGAGCCATAAAGGAGAGGCAGTATATTCCATTTTTAGGTCAAGATTTGTCTCGACAATGAATATATATTCGCTCACTAAACCCGGGCTAATTCAGCGCTCTTCTAAATTCTGAAAAGGATGTACTCTCTTCAGCAGTTCCCTGGCTTGGGGACCCTCACCACAGCGTTTTTTCCGCTCTATTTTTCCCCGGAGACTGGAAAACAAAGAGGGAAACAAAAAAATCGGAGCGAATACCGAGGAAAACTTTAAATTAACGTAAGTATACGAAGCACCAGTTAAGCCTTTAGCGACCAGGGTTCTTGACTATTTATTTTAACTGTAGCATTTCCGCCCCGGCTTCCACACTTCTCGAATAGTTGCTGCTCCTGCAATTAGTGTTCATGTAATTAATTGCTTCGCCGTACAGGAATTTCGATGGAACATTAAGAGTAATTAAAGTTCTTAGGAGGAGCTAAGAAAGTGTTCGTGCTGAGAAAGGGAGGCGGACGAAGGTTGGAACAGCTGAGGGAGGCGCGCAGGGGCTGGAACACCGGTTGTTTCAAAAACGTAATGAAGCATCAGACTTTCTGCTTCACTTGCTCACTAATGTTCAGATATATTTTGTCTTGTTTATATTTTCCTAAGCTTTCAGTGTGCTGAATGATTCATAAATATATATTCAAAATCTCTCTCTCTCTCTCTCTCTCTCTCTCTCTCTCTCTCTCTCTCTCTCTCTCTCTCTCTCTCTCTCTCTCTCTCTCTCTCTCTCTCTCTCTCTCTGTACTACCTTATCTTTGTCAATCAGTTTCTTTGATTCTATCACTGTACTCTTTCTGACTGTCTGTGTATGTGAGTGTGTGTGTGTGTGTGTGTGTGTGTGTGTGTGTGTGTGTGTGTGTGTGTGTGTGTGTGTGTGTGTGTGTGTGTGTGTTTTGTGTAAGGGTTAATTACGTTCATTACCATCGCCTGAGTTATGATTTCATTATTAAATTATCATCATAAAAATACTATTTCATATCTAATAGAAGTCCAGCACCGCCATTTAGTTAAACAATGTATATTGACAACAATGACTTTGTTAAAGCACGCGCGCGCGCGTGTGTGTGTGTGTGTGTGTTGTGTGTGTGTGTGCAAACACATACACTCATTCACACTTATATAAGTATATACTAGATAGACATAGAGAGATATAAAGACGTGTTTTTGTATATGAACATATTCACATATATATATAGAGAGATAGATAGATAGATAGATAGATGTACATACATATATATATATATATATATATTATATATATATATATATATATATATATGTATGTATGTATGTATATATATATATTATATATATATAATATATATAATATATATATATATATATATATGTACATGTATATATATATATATATATATATATATATATATATATATATATATATATAGTATATATATATATATATATATATATATATATATATATATATATATATATATATATATATATATATATGTGTGTGTGTGTCGTGTGTGTGTGTGTGTGTTGTGTGTGTGTGTGTGTGTGTGTGTGTGTGTGTGTGTGTGTGTGTGTGTGTGTGTGTGTGTGTGTGTGTGTGTGTGTGTGTGTGTGTGTGCGCGCGCGTGTGATAAAGATTGGTACATACATATAGATACATATAGATGCATATAGATATATCGATTAATGTATGTATATATGCTTTGGGTTTGTCTTTTTGTGCACGTGTGTTTTAGTATATTCGAGTGTGTTTAAGTGTGTATGTGTGTGTGGGCGGGCA